GGCTCTTTTTTTTTTTTTTTGGAACATTGAATCACAAAACATATATAAAGGTGAAAAATATATAAGCACTATTAAGCAGTAAATATCATGAACACTGAGAAGAGTGAGAGCGAGGAATTTGGGATGGGAAAAGACAGCAAGCACCCAGCAGGGGTAGATTGGGCGAACGAGAGTGCCTCATGTAGTACAGGCTTGTAGCACGTTCCATCTAACGACGATTGTCGCTTTTGGCACTCTGCTATGCTATGGCATTGCATCTACGGTGATAAGAGTCCAATGATGCTATTGGATATGTGGGGGAGTGAAAACGCTGCCAAAAATGATTCAAATGTATCGTGGCCTACAACGTGGGAAGATGCAGTCACAATTTTTCGTATTCTTTTGAATGGGTGGAAGGTGGCCCTACATCAGTCTTTTTGACACCGAGCAAAGGTGTTACCTTTTGACTTTACTTTTTTGGGGCTTAAAAAAAGACTGCTTCAAATAATAAATTGCCGTTGATGAAGCTGGAGTAGTGTTGTGCCGCCTCAGAGATTTTTTTCTTTTTCTTTCCAGGTGCTGGGAAGTAGTGTAGCGTCTCCTTTGGGACATCCGTTAAAATTGGAACGATACAGAGAAGGGTAAATTAGCATGGCCCCTGCGCTTTCAAGGATGACACACATAAATCGAGAAATGGTCCAAATTCAAATTGAAAAAAAAAAAAAAAAAAGGAAGTAGTGTAGCCGTATTTGATTATGCTTTAGCATGTTTTTGGTTCTACCTTTTTTGTGGGGTTAGGTGGTGTTTTACTTTTTTCTCTTTATTTTTAAATATTTTTAAAATAATTTTTATATTTTATATTTTTTTGTTTTTATGTGATCGCTTGAAGCAATAGTATAATCGTGTAGTGGTATTCGATTTTCCTGTCATGTTTTTAAGTGTTTTTTTTCCCCCCCTTCTTTTTTGAACTCGTTGAATATTGACTTATGCGAAATAATCTGCTCCGTTAATCCTTCCTGAGGGAAGCACTCAGTGCTGACAGTGGTAGTTGTTTCCAACTTTTCACAATACAATTATGGCATATGAACAACCAACGGAAAACTTCGTAGTCAGCACACCACGGCAAGCGAACAGAGAAGAAGAGAGAAGGTTGAACAAGAATTGGGACAAAGGAGAGGTGATAGAAGATAGTAGTAAACACCTTGGTCTTCTCCCGAACGCGACCTTTTGAGAGGTCAAAATATCAAAACAACCTCTCATAGCCAGTTCCTTGAAAAAACAGTCGGCAGTATTCTGAAGACTACCCTTAAGCAGTCGTAGGACTACTCTTAAGCAGTCGTAGATATTCTGACAGACTACACCTTGAAAAACTAACTGGCGAGAAGTAGCGCGACCCTACGCGTTTCGGCCAGTTGCCAGACGGCACTGATCAGGGGTCTTTCAAGCCGCGAATTGAGGAGGGATGCCGAGCTCGATTCCTGGGCCGGGGGTTTTTCAAGGTGACGGTGGTCACCTGGGCCATACTGCGGGAGAGTGTGCAGTCTAATACATAGTTTTTCGAGGAATGATTCCTGGCAGGTGATGCGCTCCACCAACAGACCAGGGCTGGTTAAAAAAGAAAAGAAAATAATATATGTATTTTGCCTTTTCTATTGGCCAAGCTTGTTGTAACCTCTGCGCTTTACAGTAGTATGACATTTCATCCACATGCCCTGTCGGATTTCAAAATTGAAAAAACAAAAAGAAAACCCACTTCCAGTCATCTTCCACTTCGTATTCCGTTCCGTTAGTGTACTTCTTTTTTGTCGTCTGCTTCTTGTGGTGTACTTCTTTTTTGTCGTCTGCTTCTTGTGGCTGATTGAGGATTGGATTCTTTGAGGATGATCCTGTCGTACTCACTGGTGGGAATGACTGGTTTACAATTCCTTTCATTTGCAACGCGTGTTATCATCAGGGCCAAGTATGAGGCAGCATGCCAGAGAGCAGGTAGACAACCAGATATGTTGGACAATGCGTTCACGAAATTCCTCCCTTCCGGAGATGTTGATGCTCTAGCACAGCAAGGAACACTGGTAAATATCATTGTTGCCTCTCCCATATCTCTTCCCTACAAGGTGTGTGTGTGTGTGTGTGTGTGTGTGTGTGTGTGTGTGTGTGTGT